ACAATTACAGTCACTTTAATAACACACTATCTATTTTTTATGATAAAGACAAGTTTATAAAAAGTAAAAAGAAAATAAAATTCAATCAATTACCTCCATCTTACTTTTCCTTCGTGCAAATCCAATGACAACGATGTCATGTTGTACAAGAGCTTTTGCTGTTGCTAATCCAATTCCACTGGATGCACCAGTAACTATAGCTATTTTACCAGACCAGCGTTCCATGGTTTGTGAATCTCAATTTTGTCAAATAGTGAGAAAAATATTAATACCGACAGAATAAAACGTGTTATCTCGTTGAAATTACGTCCTCGACTGAACGCTAGAATCAGCTTACGTATTAAGTAATCAAACGTGTAACCTTGAATTATCTCTGCTGTATATAAAAATCATAGAACGCACAATCATTGCAACATTGTACGCAGATAAAGACATTATATAATAGGAAAATTACATTCCAACCATTGATACTTTTTGCGATACTCTTCCGTATTCATTACATGTATTTTTTTTATATGTAAATATCTCGTTAGTATGCCGGTTTTGTGGTCTTGTATGCCAAATAAGTTAGAACAATATGATTATTTGCGTATATCTATTTAAGATATCATTTCATTTTATTGGTTGCAAACAAAAATACATTTCGTCGAAGTTCCTAGTCTCCCGATGGCGAACCTAATCCCCGTCGGTCAGATGAATGACAATCACAATCTTTTAACAGGTTAAATACCACAAGTGTTACCAGTGAAGGCCCTTCCCAGAATAATAGAAATATATTCCACATAGTGGAGAAACGGACAACCCCGGGTGCGTGGCATTCAACCTGTTAAACTGACCAATGCATGTTCATTTTAATAAACTTAATCACCAACCAAAATAAAAATTATCTTATTTGTTTTTGTATCTTAGCATTAGAATTTTGTAATAAAGTTGTTAATATGTAAGGCGAACAAAGTTGAATAAAAATAAAAATTGATTATGTTGCATATTTTAATCCTTATCAGGTGTCTTACATGAGATTCCAAGAAAAGTAATACACTTTTGACTCACATTTTAAATCCTTACAAAAATTATACCTTTGTTATCTTATGACTATTAGTACTCATAGCAAATATTAAACTTAATCCTGTTATTGATATTCATATTTAAGTTCTCCCAATGGTCTAATAATCAATTCAGCAATATGAACTCGTTGAGGAGTTCCAATTATATAAATGACACCATCTGCAATATCTTCAGGTTTCAAATAGGGCATTAGAGCCTCATCTGTATGGAACTCAACATTACTGGTTTTAAAGATATCCGTGTCAACAATTCCTGGACTGAGATTCTATTAAACAAAAATTAGAAATAATAATTTAGTTAATTTTTCTCTTTTAAACTTGTTGTGTTCCATAATAGTAAATGCTGAAAAAAATACATTTTTTGAGCAACATGCGTACCACATGTAAATGTTGGTACATGTGGCGCACACACAAGTGACCAGCTGGTCAAGCGAGCCATTTATTATAAT